CTCTCCTCCCGAGGGCCAGGGGACCCGGCCGAACGTCGACATCGCAAACTGAGGGGGCCCGCGCCCTACAGGCCTCACGGCCCCACCGCCCCGACCCCCCGGGCCCCACGGCCCGGCCGCGCTCAGGAGCCGGGGCTCGGCGCACTCACGCGTTGCCCACGTGGACGCGGGGCGCCACCTCGTTACTGTGCGCGCTGGGCAGGCTGTAGCAGCCGCTGCCGTTGGCCAGCAGGTCGTTCAGCTCCTCCACCGAGATGCGGTACTCGGACATGGCCCGGCCCCGCGCCCGCACCGCACCGCAGCGCTGGGCAGGCCCCGCTCCCTCCGCCGCAAGCCTGATAGGAGGGGCCGGGATCAGGTGGTAGCGGGAGGCGGCTACTGCCCGGGCGCCCCGTCGCTCCCTGCCCGTCTCCCCCACCCGGCCCGTGGGGGCGGCTCGGGCTCTGCTCTCGGGGGCACAACCAAACACCCGCTCTGCTGCCTCCCCTCCCCGTGCGAGCAAACGTGAGCCCTTCAAGGGAGGAGCGGCCGTGCTCCGCCAGTTAACGGCCCCCCGCTTCCCTGCTGAGGGGATCGCCTTTCTCAGCCGAGGGAGGTTGCTCTGCGAGGGATTCTCGGCCGGGCCCCTGGCTCCTTTCAGACGTGCCGCACAAGATTCATACTGCTAGGAGGGCGTCCAGGCTGTAGCTGTCTTGCTCTAGAGGGAAAGGCAGTCAGGACTCGTAGCAGAGATGATCTCTCTTAATTAGACCAACAAGATCTTTGCGAAAAAAGAATATTTTTTTTGCAAAAGTCTTGTTTGGTCTAATAAAAGAGATCACCTCTACAACGAGTCCATACTGCCAGGAGTGCAAGAAACTGAAGCTGGTTCCCTGTTCCTTGTTCCCGGTTCCTTATTTTCGGTTCCCTATTCCTTATTCCCAGTTCCGTATTCCCAGGAACCAACTTCAGCCTCATCAGGAGTGCACACATCATTCCCAGGACGAAGCTAATGAAGGATTTTGCACAGGAAGCAGTAGTGTTACAAACATGCAGCCCTGTTGTGGTCTTCTGAAGTTCCTTGCCACAGACGAATTGCTGTATTATTTTTCTGTTGCCAAAACACAAAAGGAAAGAAAAAACTAACTAAGCTGGCACTTTCTAAAGGGTGCCTCACGTCTAAAAAGAGTTCACAAATCGCTGGCTTGAGATGCAACAGCTTCTTTCCCAGGCCTGAAGGAACACACTTTGCACCCCAAAGCTTGAGCACCTCTCCAAAAGGGGAAAATTGGTCCAATGAGAGACTGCCTCGTCTCAGAAATCCCTGCTTCTTGAGAAATCTCTTAGCAGTTGAGGGGGTCTGCTGGCAGTCTAGCCTGCCCCATCGTGAGTCCTCCCACCCTTTTAGGGGTTCAGAGCACTAAAGACTAAAATAGAGACTGGACTGTCTCTTTTGCACCTACCAAATGAGTCTGAACACCAACCTCTTGGGACAAGAAAAGGCAGCAGAGCACTGAGGAGGTATTGCTGTCAGAGGTGCCTCGAGAGAACCCTAAATTCCACCACAGTCCCTCAGACCATAAGCAGACAGAAGCCATGACTGACTCATATTGTAAGTATTGATATTAATCTGGGAACTAACTATTTGTGCAGGTCCTAATGTTCAGCCCACTGGGCTACTGAGACCAGGCACTCTGAACTGCTGTACTTCAGAGGCTGGTCTAGGAATTTTGAATTTCAAGAGATGCCTAATGAATAGCTTGAATCAAGCGTCTGAGCTCTTGAGAAGAGCGGGAGATCACTACATGCTCCTAGGTTTTGTGGTGTTCATTGGCTACCTCTAAGCATCTCTGGCTTTTTTTTTTTGGCTTTTTTTTTTACTTGCCCCTTGGAAGTGCTTAATATTCTTCATTCACTGTGTAAGGCATCAAGGCACATAAACCTGCATCACTTTTCAGCATCTATGAAACTCCCCACTGACCTTAAAACTGACCTTTATTTTTTTTTTTTAATTACCTTCCTGGGGCAGATGGTGAAAGGTATGTGGGAAATACCTAAATCAAGGAACCTGAGACTATTTGAATTCTGGTCTAAGGTTGCATCAATTGCTAGCAGATTTTCATTTTTATTAAAACTGGGGATGATGTCCAGAGCCATGTCTTTGTGCTAGAGTTGCACCAAAGTGAAGCAGGAGGGTTCTGTTGTATTCTAATGTGTGTGGAAACTCAACAATATAATTATGACCTGCTTAATGAGAACTGTATAGTCTTTTAAAGCAAATATCTTGTGGAACTTATGCTTAAATATTTTTTAAAAGGGTAGCAAAATTGTGCAATAGTGTACTTGCTCTGCACGTCTACATATTGGGTGTATTTACATGTTCATTAATGTGCTTTTGCTGCTTGGCATTAAATGTACTACCTCTAACTAAATGTGCATTAGGCTGCCCTGATGTGCAGTAGCGAAAGCACATGCTTGCTTAGTGACGCTTAATGTGCAATAACCTAATTTTACTGCGCATTAGCGTATTAGCACAATTTTTGCTGTGACACACTAATGCATGGTAAAATAGGCTACTCTGCATTAAAGTGCACATGTAGACACGTCCATTGTGACCTAAACATATATTTTAATAAAAGGACAGTTTCAGAAGTGACAGTGAAAGAAGCCCCCTCCCAATGTGCCTAGGGCCAGGGGACAGCTGCTGGTACAGGCAGCAGAGCTCTCTTGGCCTCATGCACATTGGGACCCACCATGTCCTCCTTGCCGACCCCAGGGCTAGCACTCAGGGTAGCCTGTAGCTCCCCCTGGCTGCTGCAGGGGAACAGAGCAGGGCAGAAGCAGCCTTTTACTGGGCTGCTCCCCTTGTGTAGACGTGCTTCTGGGGAGGGCTTACTGCACAATATTTTATTTAATGCAAATTAATAGCACATGTAGACTATGTTGTATTCTCTGAATACTGGATAAATCGACAGAAGGAAAATCAGACCCATTGTCTGCTTTCCTGCCTTGCCGTTTCTTGTGCCCAAATCTATTTCTTCACCCTTTGACTTTCAGCTCTACTTATTGTCTAAAACCTGTTGTTTGACTTGAAATATTAATCCCTTATTTATTTTTAAATTGCCTTCCTGACCTGAATACCATGTACTTGTTTTAACCTTTTTACAGTTGATCAGAGACTTGCAGTATCTTTTGCTTTATTTACCCTTCCATTACAGTCCTCTTCCCATCTACTCTGTTTTCCTCTTATTGCCTGCCTTAATACCTGGTGGGTGCAGCTACATGTGTGGTTTACCATGGAGTAGACTAAGTAGCTGCACAGTAAAGTATCACTGTCTACATGTGGACAGGTATTAAACCACAGTAAACTAATTAACTCTGCTGTAAGATAGCCTTGTGGTGGTGTAATTTACTACAATTAAATGCAGGTGTATATGCTGATCACTGGCTTAAATTGTGCCCAGCCAGCCAAGGGCCAGACTTCTGCCTGCTGCTATGCTACATGGCTCTGCACTTTAGCACTCTCATGCCCTATCCAGCCCCTCCACTGCCCAATGCTGCCACCCAGAGCCTGGGGCTAATGCCCTAAGCCCCCTGCCAGCCCAGGCCTTCTCTGTTGTGACTAAAGTTGCTGCTGTCCTAGGTGCACATGTAGATGCTGCACCTGGGAATAGTTTACTTTGGATCAAATTGCTCCAGAGTTTATTGTATCACATTAATTTCATTTGTAGACACACTGGCTGTTAACTACTCTGACTTTTCCCTTTCCTGCTTTACATGTCCTTTTTTAAGACTTCTGCATTTAAGGTGCTGTTTTCTCCTTATGCCACACTGTCTAAATGGTTCTTTGTTATTTGAAATCTCTTCAGCTTTTCTTCTGTGGGATACAGCAGGCCAAGAATGGTTTAGATCAGTGGTCTCCAAAGTGGGGTGCACAAGAAGATCCACTGGAGTGCAGGAAGAAAATATTAGAACTTCTATTTATATTTATATAAATATACATATATTGGGGGTGCGTGCTCAAAATTTTTTTACTGATGGGGTGCACAAATATAAATATACATATATTGGGGGTGCATGCTCAAAAATTTTTTACTGATAGGCGTGCGCGATCAGAAAAGTTTGGAGACCACTGGTTTAGATCACTGACTCCCAGTTATTACTGAGGAGCTCAAGGTTTCATTTTAGGTACAAAGTGTAAGTAGGAGGACTATGATTAGCAAAGCTGCCAAATCATTATAATTAAGTAGATATAAATGCCTCTTTCCAAAAAACTGAGTGTCATTCATTAAAAGTAGCACCAAAGAGCAATTACCATAATTCTAACAGTATTCCCGTACTGGACCTAATGTTGGCTCTTGGCCTTTATCAGCAAGAAGCAGTGATTTCTTTAAAATGTTTTAAATTAAAAAGTTGTAGACTTCATATTTCAGACAGTCCATCCCTTGAGCAGATGAATTCTTGGCTTTGTAGTAAATATTCTGTTTGGTGATTTGTGTTTAATCACCCAACAAATTGGTTTCAGATCTGCTCCAAGACATTTTTATGTCCTTATGAAACCATCTCAGTCTGCTTTCTGAAAAGTTTGGTGTTTGGAGCACAAATAATTTATGATAGATCTCATTTTGTGCAAAAGCATCAGTTGAAAAAATTGATCCCTGTTGTCAAGGGACTATGAGGATTGAATAATGTGCTGTACAGAATGTACCTTCCTTCCACAACAGGGCTTGCAGCTTCAATTAGCAACAAGTAAGCACAGCTGTGGAATTACCAGTAATGAAAAGTCTCTTCTCAAAGGAGTTAGGAACAAGCCATTTTTTGTAATACACATATACACATGCTTCACTGCCCCCTTTAAAGCATACCTTTCTATTTTAAAATGCCCTGGAACTGTTCTGTCAGCTCTTTAATTCAAGGGTAGTAATAGTCATGAGGTCTCAGCTGTCTGGCTGGGTTTAAATATTACAACCACAGGGGTTCAGTTCCTTTTAGCATTAAGTTTGCTTTGAGTCATTGGGTGTTAGAACAATAATATGTCAGTTTTCAGAGTGATCACCTCAAGGGACGAGTCTCTCTATAAATTCTTCAGATTATTTTACTCTAAACTCAAAATAAAACAGTACATCAGAAAAGAGTGTAGTCCTAGTGCAGTCAAAATAACCCAAATATCTGAAGTTGGCAAGATCCCTTTCTTTTGTCACTAGTAATTACTAATGATGTCACTTATGGATTTGCAGTAATATTTTGATGCGTTGGGAAAAGTTTTATAAATTATGCTCTCAGTTACAGTTTCCCTGGAGATTCCAGTCTATGGCAGGTGTAGCAAGTGCATTTTAGGTTTGTTCTTTCCTTGAAGCCTGATTAAA